GACTTTAGAAACTCAGAAGCTGATCAAATATCGGGTTAAATATCGGTGGGGTGGCCGATGTCCGATATTCAGTTTTAAGGCCGATACAGGCCGATACCGATAGGGGGCCGATTATATCGTGCATCCCTAGTGCTACCCTTTGTCACAGGCATGGTTGTTTTAAAGTGTTTTATAAATAATGAAGTAGTAAATTGCGTAGTGGAGTTAAACAGCTCCTCAAAGAAGGGCCCATTCCAGATTGGATTTCTGTTATCTAAATAGCATACCTTAATCTTTTTCCTCAATATTTTTAATTTTGTGGAAAATGTTCTCCACAGAACAATAAACATAGGTTAGTTGAAAGATTTCTCCTTACACCATTAGTTTCAACTTTACTGTTGAGGTGGAAATGCCATACGTATTTCCATAGGGAATAGGGTCTAGGAACTGTCTACAATGCATTCTGCACTAAAAAGCATGCTTGTGCCCTGTGTGTCAATTCCTCTGCATACTCAACACTGAAGGCAAATTGAGATTGGCGTACAGCTTCCATTAGTCTCACATTAACCAGAATATATGCACAAATTGCAGGAGTTTTATCCTATCACAGCATCCCCAGCTCATATTTGTAACGGCCCTGGCATGAAAAATGTGGAATGTTTGTCTTAGCAGCTCTGTAAAATACTTTTGATACTATGTTAGAGCAAAAGGGGGTGAGGAGCTGTCTGAAGACAGCTTTACTCTCAACCTCTTAAATTTTGTAGAATTTGATTTCTAGAATTATGGAACACCTTTCTTGAAGTAGAATCCCTCATAAAAATAAATTATTTCTCTGGAGAGACTATTGCCTGAATTTTAGATGAGTGCTACAATCAGGGAATTCCAGTTGAAAATAACAAGCATATAGAGAAAGTTTGTTTTATTAAATCCATTTTAACAAAAGCTTCATGCCTCTACCCAGGCTCTTGTGAGGGCAGGAGTACAGATTAAAGAAGAAAGAGAAATGACTAAGGTGGATAATTCAGGTAAGTTGAGAATACTAACAGAAAGTTTGTAACTTAGATTCCTATCTTCAAAAATTTCATTTTCATAAATAAAATAAAAATCTCACATGTATGTATAAGTTTAAATGAGGGACAATTACAAATCTATTTTTTGATTTTTGTCAAATGCATTCAGTTACTTTTACATGTTTAAACACTTATACATACATTTTTATTGACAGTAATCACATTTTAACATGAAAAGAGGACGACTGACCTGGAGTCTAAAACTGTTTAACAAGTAATTTTATAAAGAGGTTTTAATATGGCTACGCTTCCCTCTTTATATGATTGTAAAAGGTGAATGTCCTTCAAATGATATCCTATAATATTAAAAATGATTCTGTCTAATATTCAGCCTGTAACCAGAGCCAGGTTGGTGTATCATTATCTCATCGGGATGAGGAGGAAAATGCCTACCAGGAGGTCCATCCTCCTGAGCAGAGTAAAGCCACCACCACCACAGTGGGGGACCTCCTGTCTGTCAAGCAGCTGGTTTTACGGAGAGGCCTGGCGGTGCTGATCATGTTCATTGTCCTCGCTGTAGGAATTTTGGTGTCACGCTTCTTCACCAACATGTTTAAGTGAACTCTCTGCCATCTGAGCCTGATGGCATCAAGTTTGGTTGATTGTTACTGTTGTTAGAATGGGCTTACATTCTCTTGTGAAAAAGTGACCAGCGCCACTCTCAAACACCAGGTGGCAGCTTTATGCAATGTTTGAACAGTATGCATAACATTTGCTGAACAAATATCAAATGTGTGGCCAAACTAACAAAATTTATAAGGATGGGCATTCTTAAAAACATCAGGTGACTGGGGTTTTGTTATAATTGCCTTAAAATACTTAAATGAAAGCTGGTCTTTATTTGTATTGATTGATATGTTTTCTGTGCTGATGTGGATTAGATTTTTTTTTTTGTATTTTTCTTTTCCATTTGCTCTAAAATTGTATTCCAAATCAATCTGTATGAAATATGTGAAAGGTTAATGCTGCTGAAGTTCATGAAATGGAAGGCCTTCACTGTAGTTAACTTAGTCTGAAACATGCCAAAAATCCTGGTGAATATTAGTGTTGTTGTAATATGAAAATCAAAAATGCAAAAGATTTATGATGCTTTGGATGCTGTACAAGTAGCAAGGGAACTGCGCATTCAAAGTATGTGAATAACTTGGCACACTTACATATTAAATGGGTGATGCATTCCATGACATTGTGCAAAGAGTTAAAATGTCTACAAGGATCTTCATCCCTGTTGGCCTCATGTTTTACTCAGACCACATTGTACAACTTAAAAATCAAAAACTCAAAATTAGGAATCATTTTAGGATTTAAAATGCCGACGTATATTTGAACTGAGGAATAAAATTGATTTAAATGCTGGAACCTCCTTGTTTAGGTTTTAAACATGCTCAATTAAGGTCAAATTTAATATTTTAATTTTACATCAACCCTGTTCAGCAATACTGAAAATGAATAGAACATATAAAAGCAGGTGTAAACTATTTGCATAAGGTTGCACAACTTATAAATTATACTTTTTTGAAGTAGCTTTTGACTTAAGTAGTCTTCTGCAGTAGGAATCTAGTGTCCAATATTCTAAACTGCCAATATTTGCCCACTCTGTCTCGAACATTTCCATGTTGTTCAAAGCTCTCTTTAAAAAGATTTCTTTCATATTTCATCCATGGCGCTGGCTAGGTCACACATAAGCTGACATTTTCCTTTGGTAAAGCCAGTTAGTTGTTGGTTTTATGCAAATAAAATTTTAATATTGCTTAAATGTCAGTCTTCTTGCCAACTTGAACCCTTTTGAGCAAAACAATCTGGAACTTGGTTCTTAATTTTATCTGCTTTTTGACAATTTTCCATCAATCTAAGGGAAAATAATCCCTAAATTCACTCTGGCTCCTGTTATGCAAATAAGGTTTTTGTCATGATAGCTTTTGGATTTATGGCTCACAAATTCAGCTTTATTGTATCAGATCATAATGAAGTCTTCCACAAAATTCTGGAACACATTAGTCAGGCCTGAGTTTTGTCTTTGGAAAAAAAGGCTTCAATCTATCAACTCTATTGTTTAGTCCAGACATCCTGTATGAAGAATGCATACTTTCCTCACATGGAGAACACAGCTGGTATTTACCAGAGTTATCTATAGCTCTTTTTCATTCCTGTTAGCTGCATGGTTTATATATATATATATATATATTTTTATTTTTTTTTGTGTGTTAATGTATTTTGGAGAAAATATGTGTTGTAACATCCCTGTTGTTTCATGTTATCTCAAATCACAATGTCATCACTGTTAAAATTAGATTTGTTTTTTCAATCCTGCTTTATTTCTTTGCACCTTTCTCTGGAATGATGTCTTTTTAGAAAATCCTTTAAGACCTCCTTGGAATTTATGGCTTTAATAAAATACGCATCCTACAGTTTTTTTTCCTGTTGCTTTTGCAGTTTAACGGTACAGAATAAATGACACATTTAAGTGTATAAAAGTTTTCAAATGGTATTTCATTGACTCATTTTTTAAATAACATACATCTTTCTCTTTAACAGGTTTGTGAGATCTATTCCTTGAGTTTGAAAAACACATTAGCTTTTTATTCATCTTTCAGGCAAGGTTTTCATTTTTTTTTGCAACAAAAAATATAATTTGTTATGGGTTTATGTGACCTTGCAAAGAGCACATTTTCCCATGCCACCAAATTGTCTGAAATATTTGTAACACTGTTAATCTAAAACATCTTCTAGATATCAGCTAAAAAAACACAGTATCTCAGTTTTAAGAAAGTTTGAAGTCTAAGACAAAAATTCCCAATACAGCAGTGAAGATTCCTCTGACAGTCTGTTTTAAGAATGTTTTAATATAAACAGTTTAATATTTTAGTTAACTTTTCTTATGCATCTTTTACTGCATCAAGCTTTATGCTTATGTTTTTCAGTAATGATGCTACAAGCTCCTGTTTCTGGGAAGTGAGCTTAAGTTTGTTTGTATTTAGGACCCAGATTATAGAAGACATACAGAAGAGATCATTGTGTGATTTTAGCAGGGCTTAACTGCAATTGATGCCATGGGCATCAATTGCCCATGGCACGTGGTCCTCAATGGAAACCAGAGACAATAAATAAAGCAAATAGAAAAAAATATGACTTTTAATGCAACAGAATTTTTATTGAAAAAACATTGATCTTTTACTCCTTTTAAATGTGCTAAATGGAAAACTTCATTGATAAACAAAAAGTACTTTCTGAATATCAATGTCAGGGACAAGCAGTCAAAATCCATCAATAGAGTCAAAATTAAGACCAAAATTGGCCCAAAATAAGATATCAACTAAGATAAAGCAGAACTGACCTATTACAATGAACACAGGGGTAATTAAACACATAGGCTAGCCTACAAAAAACAAGGAGGGGAGGGAGAAAACTTGAGACAAACAATAAATAAAGCTAGACAACAAAGTCCAACCTACAAATAATAACTACAAGACAACTATGAAACTAAGACATTCAAAAACAAACATGTATTTTAAAACAGTGGATGTTTGAGTGTTTGACAGCTTCTCCAGAGTCAATCCCCAGTTTCACTTCCTGGTGTTACACCTTATTTGCTCCCCCAGTTTGTTCTTTCAACCTCAGCATACAAAATATAGTTAGTGATCTTCAAACACTGTTCATAGGGGGTTAACTAGGTGTGTGCGCCAATATTAGCAAACACCCTAAAATAGATATGCTGTGTGAAAGAAACTTTAAAACACCAACACTAAAATAGTTGCAGGAACCTCCACAAGCAATGTGGCTCTAGATCACAGAGATCTGCAGCTTTGGCAGTTCTGGAATTAATACAGGAAGTCAGCAGCTCCATTCATAAAAAGAGCTTTAAAAATGATCAGTTGTACTATAAAAAGCATCTGACACAGTTAATCACAATATTCATCAGGAAATTGGAAGATTATAGTGTATGGCAGGTCATTTTGGAGTGGATCAAGAGCTATCTAATTAGCAGGCAACAATATGTAAAAATGTATACATTACCAGCATGCTTTGGTGGCACAGTGGTTAACGCACACGACCCATGTCTGGAGGCCTTAGCCCTGGACGTGAGCAACCAGGGTTCAAATCTGATCTGTGGTCTTTTCCCGCATCCTCTAATACCCTCCCTTTCTGTCAGCCTACTTTCCATAAAAACAAACCACTAATGCTGTATCAAAAAAAAATTATACATTATGTAGGCTACTTGTTTTGTTTTATGAGGCATACCTGTATTTGGTAATGCTTTGTGGGTAAAAAACATGGGAGCATGGTGGGTTGGCTGCTCCAGGCGGGCTCATGGTGCATGCTTTGTGGGTAAAAAACATGGGAGCATGGTGGGTTGGCTGCTCCAGGCGGGCTCATGGTGCATGCTTTGTGGGTAAAAAACAATTACTGTAACTTGGAGGTTTGATATTGTAAGAACTATCAACCATGAGCCCCTAGAGCAGAGGTCACAGATTAGCGGACCGTGGTCCAGATCCGGACCCACCTGCTGGCTAATCCGGACCCAACCTGATTCAAATCATTTATAAATTACCCTTGTTTGCACATGCGCAGTGTTCGAAGGTTCTGGTAAATCGGCTCGTCGACAGTCGTAGCTTTGATTCAACAGCAAGATTTGCCCTCGACCACCATACAACGGCTCACTGAATTTGAAAGTCTGATTTTCTGACGACCTTACGATTCCTGTTCGGGAGGTGGAAATGAGAGGCTGATCGCCCCTTGTTACCACCTGTATACTACACGATGCAGGACGCACAATGTGGCTGAAACTCAGCCCAATAGAAAAATCCTGGCATGACTGGAGAGTCGGCCAAAAAAGGGCAAAAAATCGTATAGTGTATGCCCGGCTTTATGGACAAAGGACATTCTTTTAAGGACCAGAATGTTCACATTTTGGACAAAGTAGACACGGGGTTTGAGAGGGGTGTGACGCAAGCCATCTATGTTAAGAAACAAAAAAAAAAACCTTTTAACAGAGGGAGTGGACTCAGGATTCAGCTTTCAAAAACCTACAATGCAGCAATAGAGTATATTCCTTCCCACTATTGTTGCAACCCCCAGCCACATACAGGTGACCAGACTATCTCACCTGTTCCACCAGGACAACAATTCCCCCTAACAACCCCTTTTTCAGAGGCAGAAACCACTATCAGGTATTGCAGACTAACAAAGAACCCAAATGAACCCCATTCCTAAGGGGCGGACCATTTGTCCGGTTCAATTTGCATTTTTTCTAAGCCAAAACAAGGCTTGAAACTCGTTTCAACAGTGACCTTTTTTCCTTCATGAACCCATTTAACAAAACTAATGGTTGGGACCTTAGAGACAGCAAAATAAACAATAGACATTGACACTGTAAGCTTCTCAAACATTACTGAGGCATACATTCACGTGGGGGAGGCGTGTGTATTAAACTGAGTTGGTCTCCACTACCATGCAGATCGTGCATGATCACTGCATTGTTAAACGGCTAGACTTTGCCGCCATGATTCAAACTTACTTCAAACAAAATCACAAAAAATCTCTGTTGAAAATTACAACACCAAACGGTCCATTAACATCCCCAATACATTTCAACACGGCTTATACCTAGTTTCAAAGCATATTTGTACATTTATTAACCTGACAAACAGGAGAGAGATGAGGAGACAGTTTGTCAGTTTTGAGTATAACGCAGTAATAATGAGGGAAAACCCAATGCAAGGCACTAAAACCGGAGCCCGCCCTCGCCCCCTGCTGGCATGGAGCAAACATTACAACATACACATTGAATGAGAAATCAAACCACTGCATAAAGAAATGCAAACTCTTTGGGGATACATTTTTCCAAAATAAAATACAGTAGTTTCTATTTAAAATAAAATAAAAATTTCTCTTCATTCATAAGCACAAAATGTGACACTTCTCTGGTCATCACACATGCATGCTCTAATACTAGCTTAATAAGCGTTCTCTATCGGGAGCGGGTACAGGGTTGTGCATGTGCTTCTTTTTTTTATTGGAAAGGGCAGGTCTTTTCAAAGATTTGCAAAAATCTTCCACTATACCTTTAAGTTGGACATTTTCCTGGTACATGCTGGACTATGGCGGAGCTGCACTCCTGTCTTGCTCTTAACTTATGGGGGAGCATTTTTAGACATAGTCAGAAATATAAGGAAATCAGAAAAGGCTGTAGAATCCATCAGCAAAACAGAAGTGCAAAAGACCACCAGAGGAGGATAATGATCAAGTCAAGTATTGGATCAGACCTTTGGTAAAGTGATAACAGGATCCCTAGAAGACAGTGGGGGCAAAGAGGTCATTCATGCCATGACTGTAAAATGTTACTATGTTATAGAACAGGAGTATATTTACATAGGTAAGTATAATGCATTCCCATCTGACTTGGTGGACAATTCCCCAAACAAACTGGCCCACATCTGTTTTGTGCAGCAAGTTTGCTGCTTCTTTAAACTCTATTGTTTCTGGAGGGGGTTTGCAGTACTTTTCCTCTACATTTGTCATCATTGCTTTTAATGCAACATTTTTGGTTGTGGTTCCCACTACACTGAGTCATGCTGAAAATGCAGTGTCAGTAGCAGGGGCGGATTTAGGAAATTTGGGGCCCTAGGCAAAGACCTGCCTGGGGCCCTCTGAATTGAAAAGACAACACTTAAAACAGAGCTATTATACAGATACAGAATTGCATCTTAAATATTATTTATAAATAAGCACTTTTTTAAAATAAAGGTGCTAGAGTGGTCTGAAAAATCGCTATATATAGCAACAAAAGCGCATAAAGCAAAGCTGGCAACACTAATCTTCGCACCCTTTTTCTTCAAATGGTTTGCTGCTGACTGGACCTTTCTGCACTTAAACAGCAAAAGGATTGAGCCGATATGGTGAACACTGAAGGGGGGAGGGACACACTTAATATTATAAGCACCTGATGTCATTTTAGAGAAAGGATTCTTATCAAAAACATAATTAATGTGCACAAATGAGTAATACCTGTACTAACCATACATGTAAAAGGAGGTTTATGGGGCCCTGGGCAACTTTAACAGTTTAACCATATAGTGTGAATTAACATTAGGTTAAGGTTAGGGTTAGGAATATACTGCAAATAGTTAGAGTTGGGGTAAATGTGTCATGATCTTGGT